CTACAAAATATATCACGAAAAAAAAAAACTAATTTTCTAGTTTAACATAGATACGGTTAATGCAAACACTTTTTTCATTTTATTTCACTTTTTCTACTACTTTTAATTTGGCATAAATTTAGGAATTTGAAAAATGGACCATAAAGTATGAGTGGCATGAGTGTAAATAAATTGCATTAATAGGTCAATAGTGTTACTATATGTTTGCAAATTTTAAATTAGGGCTTAAACTGGATCTTTAAAGATAGATGGGTTTTTATCTAGAAATAATGAATTGTAAGGGCTAAAATCTAAAGCACCCTAATTTTTATAAGTACCTTTTAATTTGCATACACCATTCATGAACATCATACTTTTCTTAACATCCTTTAAATTTGTTTATGTAGGAAACAGATACAACACTTGAGAAAGATGTCCAAGAACTGAAAGAGAAAGTGAAGAGGATGGTAATGGCTCCATCAATGCCTTCCGAAAAATTGAACTTAATCAACAACGTTCAGCAATTAGGTGTCTCCCGCCATTTCGAAAATGAGATTGAGGAAGTTTTGCAGCAAATTCACAAGACTATCATGAAGGTGATGGCGTAGAAAATGATGATGACCTTTACTCCACCGCTCTCCGTTTTCGGTTGGTTAGACAACAAGGTTTTAAGGTTTCATGTGGTCAGTTTTCTCTCTGCGGTCATGGTTTGTTAATTAATAATGTTTATAACCTTGGATTTTCCCTAATTTTGTTTACGTTAACACGTTTATTTGGTGGAGCTAGCAGACATGTTCAATAAGTTCAAGGACGTCCATGGAAAATTCAAGGAATCACTTGCAACTGATGCAGTAGGGCTATTAAGCTTGTTCGAAGCCGCACATGTAGAGTTCACGGAGAGGACTTGCTAGATGAAGCACTGACTTTCACCACTACTCATCTTTAATCGTCGATTGAAGCGCACGGTTTAAGCCCGTTACTTTCGAAACAAGTAACTCTTGCCTTGTATCAACCATTCTGGAAGGGCTTCCCTAGGCTAGAAGCAAGGAGTTACTTGTCTATTTATGAAGAACGTGGTCATTTAGTAAATCAAACTCTCCTAACTTTTGCAAAGTTGGGCTTCAATCTGTTGCAGCAAGTCCATCAAAAAGAACTAAGTGAAATTACAAGGCTAACTCTATCGCGTCCACGAGCCATATACATGCTACAAGAAAAAGGACAAAAATCACACTTGTTTTATGGTTATTTTCTTGTAGTGAAATGTCAGTTCTTACAATAGTGAATGTAAAAGTGTGTGAATAATGTTATTTAGACACATAAAACTATAATACATTTGTTGACACTAATCGAACTATGCCCTACTATTCTCTATGGCTACATATATTAGCAAGTGTGTTCGTGTGTCTAAATATAGTATCACTCTTTATGCACGTGCATACGCAAAAGTTACAATAAATAGTAATTGGATTGACTAATTCCATTATTATTATGTATTAATTGGCAGGTGGTGGAAGGATTTGGACTTGGTAAGCAAACTACCTTTTATAAGAGAGAGTGTTTTTTTTTATTTTATTTTTTTTTGTGGACAAAATAAGAGATAGAGTGGTTAAATGCTACTTTTGGGCTTTGGGAGTCTTCTTCGAGCCCAAGCATTGCTTTGCTAGGAGAATATTCTGCAAAGCTAATGCTATGATTATGACTATTGATGTCATTTATGATGTTTATGGAACATATGCAAACAAGAGCTGTTTATTAAAGCTATTGAAAGGTTCATAGATTTTATATTAATACAGTCAATTATCCTTTTAATTTCATACCTTATACTACAAGTTTAGTTAAACACTGATTAAATATATAATCACCACTCGAGAAGGTCTTGCTAATTTTTTTTAATCACCTGGAGGTGAGATATCTCAGTCATCAACCAACTGCCGAAGTATATGAAAGTCTGTTATCAAGCTATGTTGGATGAATACGTTGAAATCGAAGAAAAGCTTACAAAAGAGGGGAAGTTAGATGGCATTCACTATGCGAGAGAAGCAGCAAGACTAATTAATATTTTCAACTGAGCACATTCACTTCATATTATATCAATGTTATAATAAGGGGTTAAAAGTGAATTTATGCGTATATTATAGTAGCAAGAACATATCAAAGTATTATCATGATATAAATGAATTGATTATACCATGTTTTAGTGCCTCATAATAATTGCTCAAAAGGCCTATTGTGGTTTTTTAACTTTTTATGTTCAAATCTCGTATTGCTTCTGGAAGTCTCAATGACTCACCACACTTCATTGACTTTCAATGTCACACTTGTAGCACTACCGTGAAAATTACCAAAACTCATGATATAGAGTCAGAGGTGTGAGATTTGAGCTTAAACCACATAATAAGTTAATTATATGAATACCACTACACCATTAAATTAATCTTGTTTATTAACAAATTTAATTGATCATGGAAAATAATGTTGTAGTTGTATTATCATCAGATTACATATGGAAAGTAATTAACTAGAGACTGCGTGTTGATTTCGTAGATGAAAGTTCTAGTTCGAGCTTACTTCGAGGAAGCCAAATGGTTGCACCAAAATTACACACCAAAAATGGATGAATATGTCAGGAGCACTTACCACGTCCTACTTTCTGCTATCAGTCGTGTCATTTGTTGGAATGGCAGATATTGTGACAAAGGACTCCTTGGACTGGATTTTCAATGACTCAAGAGTTTTCAAGCTTTATTACTACTTGGCAGACTCATGGATGACATGAAATCCCACAAGGTTCGTACCTATACTAATATCTATAAACGTATATATCTAGTGATATATGAGTAATATACTTAGAGTAATGCTAGATAGTTTTAGAATATTTACAGAATACGTTACTTAATAATAGAGAAGCGACTCATCCATTTATATGAGATTCATCTTTAGTTGAGATGCTCATCAGTAAATGTAGTACGAATAACATCACTCATAGACAAAAGTATTTTTATTGTCAACCTTTTCTTTTTTCTTTTCGTAAAACAATATTTTGTTCTTAGACAAACAATCAAATGGGATTTTCTATAGCAACCGAGCACTGGATACTCTGGAGATTTAAGTTTTAAACTTTAGATCCTTGATATAAAAAATAAATAAAACAAACACGCACACACACAAATCAAGATCTAACAGTTAAAAAGCTCTTTTAACCTTAAAATTCATGCATGTATGTATGTATATGTAGTTTGAGTAAAAGAGAGGACGTATTGCATCGGCTGTGGAATGCTACATGACGGAACATGGTGCCACAGAAGAAGAAACAACAATCGAATTCACCAAACAAGTGAATGATGCATGGAAGGACATAAACGAAGAATGGCTGATTCTCACCATTCCTAGGCACCTTCTGTTGCGAATTCTCAATCTTGCACGTACAAATGAAGTTATATACAAGTATAAAGACGGCTTTACTCATGCCGACCTAGTGCTTAAGGATTCCATTGTTTCTTTGTTTGTCGATCCCGTGCCCATATAATTAAGCCTACTAAAAATTATGGTCTTTGCTATAAGCCGATAAATAATGTGGTCTCCGAAGGCCCTGTAGTGAAACGCGGAGCAGCAAGTCCTCTGAAGTTAGTTTCGAAAGACAGTGTTTCTTCTTGTTGATATATATGTGTGTGTGTATAAATGCTTGAATAAAATGATTTGGATTGTCAGTTTGTTCTCTACATATACTATCTACAAAAAGGGAAGATGTTTAGTAGTCTGAGTTTTTCTTCTAGAGTGAATTGTGCATTCCAACATCTTCTGTTATGTTTGTTTTGTAGCCGGCGCTGTTGCCCTTACTTCACTTTGAAATTTCCTCGTAGCCCTTGGATGTCGTAAAAGCTAAGACATTCTCCACTCTAGCGCTGTAAGGGGTAGATTTTTATAATCTAGGAACTCGGTTGCAAGTCTCCAAACAACTTTGACGGAACAAATCTGTACAATTTGTTGGGAATCTCGCTCCACCGTTGAAGGAGCGGGATAGATAGTGCCATAATAATTGATTATGTTTTTGGAGTTATATCTAATCATCTCTTTATATAAAAGAGTTAGAATTGGGGGGACACTATTTTAGACACACATTTTGCGACACATTTTCATGACCTGCATATTTACTCTCGGTGGACAATGAGAATGGGAGATCCGGTAAGCGTTCCTTTTTTTTTTTTTCCCCATAAATGAGATTTTCTAATTTTTAACATTTTAAGGTTTTTTTTTATCCACGTGGCACAAATATGTGGGGTCCAAGACTTCCCAATAGGCAAATAATGGAGGAAATAACAGACATTGGGATGGATGTATGAAATTGCAAATAAAATAGTAAGTTTGTGTATGACATTGCAATGTTTTAAAGGTGATGTATGAGTTTGCAGTTGTACCCAAAATTGAGGTTGAAGAATGCAATTACCCCATAAATTATTACAAATAGTTCGAGTCCTAAAGACTCCGATCAAATCATCAAATAAATGAGTTCCAATTCATTCACGTGGATTCTCAAAATAATGATACCCAAGATTCATGTTATAACTTCAATTGGCAAGGCCGTCCGTCACAACGTTCTTTTCCCAGTAGACATGAATGAACTCGCAACAGGTATGGGTACCATAAAATGTCAAGGTTGTTCAATGATGTTGGCAAGATAAACGAGATATTTTTTTTTTTTTTTTGCGTACCTCTAAAGTATCATAATATAAATGATTGAAATTTTTTATTTTTTTTCTTCAGGTATCAACTATTTGTATTATGACAGTTGGTGTATTCGACTGTGTTCCCTGTACACTGAAAAAACCTCTTCAAGTAAACAGGTCTATATTTTTAGTTTTATCCGGTCTCTTACACGGGCTATCAAATATTGATATAATTTTGAAACCTCTACAAATACAATGTGCCAAAACTAAACCCAACAACCCATTTTGAAACGGACCTCAATTTGAACCCGGCCCATTACCAATGTGAGAACCTTTTGTTTTCCCGGAAATTTGAATTCCACTAACGGTTAAATAGTTGAAGCTCGCTCTATCCATTCACAATCACGGTCCTGCGCCGTCCGTTTACGTCCGGGGAGGTCTCGCAGCTTTGAAAGCTAAAATAGCATACATACTGTGCCATCCAAAATAGCAAAACAGAAGCAAAAATATAGGATGGTCATGGATGAAAGAAGAAGCCCATTCTCCTAAGGCTTTTGGAGGTTCTTTTCAGCGGCGCAAAGAAGTTGAAGGAGACAAGAAAATGGCTCTCAGTAACAGCAACGATCGCTGGGCATTGCTAGTATAAAATTCATCTCCTTGAACTTACTCTCTCTCCCCCCCTCGAATTAAGGGTTTTTTTTTGGGTTGGGAAATTGGGGTTCTTGGCTTTGAAATCTTGGGTTTATTCTGCCCTTTTTGTAATTTTGAGTTCTAATTGAAATTCGATTTATTAGGTGTAGGAATCTGGTTTGATCGACAAGAATATGGCTCTCAAGAACAGCAACTATCACTGGGCATTTCTGGTACAAAATTTCATCTTTTGAACTTGTACTCTTTCTCTCTCCTCGAATTAAGGGTTTTTTTGGGGCTGGGAATTTGGGGTTCTAGGCTTTGAAATCTTGGGTTTAATTTGCCTTTTTTGTAATTTTGAGTTCTAATTGAACTTGGATTTATTGGGTTTAGGAATCTGGTTTGATTGACAAGAATACGGCAATTTTTTGTATTGCGATGTTGCAATCTTTATTTGTGTTCGTGTTTACCCTTGTACTTCTTTTTCTTAGCCTACATATTCTTAGCAACCAAACATATCCTAATCAAACCTGAAGGTGCATTTTCTCCATTTTGTCTTTGTAATTCATGCTGTTATATGAGAATGATGAGTTTTAGTAATATAATGGAATTATTAGGTTCCACCAATGCTCTTCAAGCTAGTTGAAGGCTGCATATTTGAATTTCGCTAAGGATAGTAAGTAGGATCATCTTCGCCACAACTTCCGTCTTCTGTCTCTAAGTCAAGAGCCAAAGACTTTGTAAGCAAGAAACAGACTGGGGAAAACCAAGATTTTACATTCTGCATCCCATTAGAAGTCAATACAGTAATCAAACCTGATGGTGCATTTTGTTCTTGTGAATCGATTGCTGAAACTATGTTCGATTATCATTTTAGAATTGATTACGTTCAGTTCTCTATTTACAACATTGGGAATAGGGAAAGGATTTAGAACTTTACATCTTTACAGAACCCCATTACTACATTAGGATTAACTTGCAATCTCTTTTATTTCATGCAATTTCTTTGGACCTTTAATTTGCTTGTTTACATCTTTCTTTGCTGATTGATGTAGGAAGAACGCAATCGATGTGGATCTCACATTAGAAGCCAGCTCAACGTATGTGGGTTCTAGCATACTCAGAAACAAATATCGTCACATTCCCACACCTTTTTTTTCTTTAATTTTCAGAAATGGTTTATAATTCAGAAAGTATATGTGATCACCAATTTCTAATTCTTCTTTTTTGGATACATTGCTTGTAGTGATGATGATTGTTTTTACCGAAGCCATCTGTAAGTACCTTTGACCCTTTGATTATGAGGCATTCTCCATTTTTATTTAGAATCATTTTTTTGCATTTTTTTGAGAAATAAACAGGGCTCTAGAATTGCTTCTTGAGCAAGTTTAATAGTTAATGTACTAGTATATTACGTAGCTAGCTATAATTTAATAGTTATAGTTATTGTAGATAGCAATGTGTATATACCTCTCTTTCAATAGTTTTTAGCACTAAGTTTGATACATTTCACTTATTTTCAAGAGAAATCATTCCTAAACTTTGCTTGACTGCATAGTCAACAACAACTTTCATGCTCTCATCCGAGATGGGGGAAACTAATCTTTTGCACCTTTTTAGGGGCTATTTTCATTCGAGAGAAAGTAAACTGACCCTTATTTGTGTCTGCTTTCCTTCGAGAGAGGGTAGACTCACCTTTTACACCCTTCTCATGACTTAGTCTCCTCCAAGAGAAGGTAAACTAATATTTTACACCCTTCTCAGCGTCTACTCTCCCCTGGGAAAAGGTAAACTACCCGTATATCCAAACATGGATGAGTTTGGCTGCTCTGGTGTAAATGGGTGCATGACGACTTGAGCTAGCTTTCCCGAAATTAGTCACGATAGTCTTCATCAAGGCTTAGCTAATTGAAGGATTTTGGCCCATGGCCTAATGGGGAGCCAAACTTTTTGACCGAAAAAAGCACGAAAGTGTGGCGCTTCTTGAAGACCTGAAGGTTATGAGCTTGATCCATGAAGACGTTTGTTGCAACCACTCTAGAGTGGGATTCCCTCAGAAAGCTCTTAACTTAAGCTACTACTGGCGAACCATGCATCAAGTTGCTAAGAAACTTGTACAAAGGTGCAACAATTGCCATCGTACTTCATCAGCAAACGAGCCCTTGCTCATTCATGTAGTGAGCAACCAACATGGTGGGACCAATGCCGCCTACTACTGGGGCAGAGACATGATGATTGTAGCAACTGACTACTTCACCAAATGTGTTGAGGCTCAACCCCGAGACGGATATAGAGAAATTTATCTAGAAGAACATCTTTTGCTGATTTGGAATCCTGCATTACACCGTCACTAACAACGGCCCACATCACATGTTCACTCCAAGATACCCCTAGGGAAATGAGCAAGATGAGACATCCAACAAGACTATCTTAGATTGCCTCAAGAAGCCTCTTATACATAAGAAAGGGAAGTGGCCAGACAACCTCCTATGAACGTGTCATACAAGCAAATGATAAGTTATTGGTGAACTATCTTCTCCTTGGCATTTGGCATTGAGGCAATCATCCATCCCAACATCGTTATGCCAACCATCAGCACTATACTGCCAAATTTAGAGCAGAACAATGAGGTGGCCACTAACTTGTACCTGGCAAAGGAAGAATGTGAGAAGGTTGTCACCAAATAGTAGCTTATCGGGCAGCAGCTCTTGTCCTACTACAATAAAATGACCAAGATCTAATAGTTCCAGATTAAAGACATATTCGTAAGAAAGACCTTCATCACTGCCTATGGAGAAGGCTCTATAAAGATGGATCATAAACATTGCTTGACTACATACTCAACGACTTCTATGCTCTACACCAAGAGAGGGTAGATTGACTTTTTACACCCTTCTCAATGTCTGCTCTCCTTATGGAGAGGGTTAACTAACCTTTTACACCCTTCTTAAGGTCTGCTCTCCTTATAAAGAGGGTTAACTAACCTTTTACACCCTTCTTAAGGTCTGCTCTCATCCAAAAAGGGTAAATGAATACCGCAGCGCGATGACTCTTCCTCTATAACTACAAAAATACTTTCTCGTGTATGAGTGACTTTCGTAGAAGTGTCGCTTATCGTGCAATCCCGCAGCATGAAGAGCTAGACAAAGGCACCTCCAAATAACCCAGACGGCATAAATTTGATTTTGGCGGCTCCAGCCGGACTCACTCCCAAAAAGGACTGCAGTCGGCAGTCGAAGATGACCCCTCTTCGCAAATCTGATATGGGATAAGTTTACTCAACTCCGAGTAAAATATTTAAAGGGAAAGTCTAACCCCTCCAACCATATTCTATCATATAGAAATGCTATGGCTCTATATGGCAATAATGACTCATTGATCTACAAAGTGTTCCCTTAATCTAGAATGGAATGTTGGTTTCATCTGGGTTCATTTCGGATTTCAGGACCCTCTACATGGAGTTCGTGAAAGCTTTCTTCGCCTACAGGGGAGCGAAGAGAGCGAGACATACATTTTCTTCCTAATAAGGCAAAAGAAAGGAGAAAGTCTCTGCGAGTACATAAAATAATTCCAAACGGAGTTCGTAGAAATGGATAGACCATATGATAGTTTGGCTGCCACAAATTTCAAGAAGGGCCTTCTTATTATGCTTGAGAGTAACAAGAAACTCCACAAGCCAAAATGTGAGTTTTTTACTTTGTCGGAGTGCTTAAATAAGGCGGAAGAAATTGTAGCTTAGGACATAATACAAAAAGATGGGAAAGCCTATCAAGCTCAAGCTTGTACCAGAGTCTCCTAGACCAAAAGAGAAGTGAGAGGAGTCGTCACCCAACGCGAGCGAATTGGTAATAAGGGTCCCCGGTGTGGCTTTGGAAGAAGAATCTTGAATTGGCAAGGAACATCTTCAATAAGGACAATGCTCTAAATGCTGCAAAGCCCATCCCGGTTAATGGTGAGAACACGGTAAGCAATTTAAGTGAGGTTGGAAGAACAAGGCCGTAGTGAATCAACGGTTAATTCACAATTCTAGACATCAAGAATATTAATTCCAAGCTTAAGTAATAGGGATAGATTCAGATGTAAAGGTGGTGAGCCACCCCAAACTCAAGCAATCTTAAATACTTGCTCCCCGTGATTCTAACCCCATATGGCATTGGCCAAGAACTGCCTAATGCTCCTCCACAAACTTTTCCAGCCTCACCTCATTGTACATTGTTGGCAACATTGGAAGACAACACCTTGAATTGCCGGAAAAAATCCTTCATGAAGGGTTTTTGAGTTAGGAAGATTGAGGAAGAACTGAGAAAAATCATAAAAAAAAATTTTGAAAATTGCTAGATAAATTTAAGAAGGAAAAAACAAGGGCATGATCAGAAGTGAAAAAAGAAATAAGGAAAAAGTCATGAAGTGGGTTTAAATACTTAAAGCCTAATAAGCGGCGTTAGACGAACAGAGGCAATGGGCTACGTGGCGGTTTGTCGACCGTGATCGACGGACCAAATCTCGCACATGCTCCACCATTTATAAAGGGCGTGCTACCCCCAACTAATGGTGACGGTTGGCGGAAACAAAGCATCTCTGACACAAACTAGAGTTCTGTGCGCGCCTTAACTTCGACGTCAAGCATTAACTCTTGCCTCCATTTGTATGGATCACTCAACAGGCTCCTTAAGAGACTATCCAAAAAGTGCTAAGTGTTTGCTAGTCTTTCCCATATCCAAGTTCTAGCTCAGAGGGACAACTTCCACTTTGCACCAAATAATTAATGTTGGAATAAAATCTCTACAGTTACTAACAGGTAATCTAGGACAAGATTGCATCCCTTTGATGGCAACTCCAATCTTACTTTGGGTAAGGTGGTGTGGTCTTATTTAACTACACCTTGAGGTACTCTGGGGCAAAGCTGTAACAATGAATATACAAGTCCATCATGTAGACCTAGCCGGAGTGAGTGAGGTACCCCATTCCTCCTATCGCGATATACTAAAACTTGGTGGTTTCTAACTAAGTCCAACACGACCATTCTGAAACTTTCTTAAAGCAGGGGGACCCCAAGATATTTCAACAGATTATAGGTTAAAGGGCAACCACACTTCTGTTGATAGCTCTAGCAAGATCACACTTGGTTTTAAAAGAAAAAAATCTCACTGCCCTAGGTCAGAGCCTTAACAGGATTATGCAATTTGTCTTCTAGCCACTCAGAGAAGAATGGGCATTATAGGCACCCACATCATGTTTAATCGCCTCCACGTCATCTCCACTCTGCTACATAGAAAGTCTGGTCAGAATGATAGGCATAGGCAATGTGATAGAGCATACTATGCAAATGAATAACTAGACTGACCCATGATGTGCAGGGAGCTAAACCTATGCAATAGAACGTTTAAGTGAACAGAGCCTTACCTTTAATTCCGACAACTCTGATGTTTCAGAGAGTTGACAAAGCATCTAGTATGACTCCCCAATAGCCTATAAATAGGCATCCTAAATCTTTACAGAATGGTTAGACACTATAAGTTTTATCCATACTCATAGCATCTCAATCCTCCATTTCATTCACTTCCTAACTTGATCATCAAAATACCTACACCGGGAACCACTATCCCTGACGCTTGGTTTCATATTCTTCCCAATAGGTGCATCAGGGACGCTTTGTTTCTACTAAACATCATTATTAGTTTAGGTGTCATGCCTGTTGAAGGTGGAAAGCGTGCACGAGCCCGTCGATCACGGTGGACAAATAGCCACATGGTCTATTGCTTTTAACGTCGCCAATTGCATTCAGTCTTTTCCTTTTCTTTTTTCCCTCTTTCTGTCTTCATTTTTTATCTTGCAAACCTTGGTTCTTGAGTTATCAAGTTTACCCAGCAACTGTTGAAAATCCTTCTATGATATTCTCAATTCTTCCTCAACCTTGTGATGGTGTCACCCAATTCAAAAGCCTTAATCATTGTTGCCCATTCATCTAGGGTTATTCCTGTTTTCAACAATTCAAGGTGCAGCCCTCTGATGCCGCCAACGATGTATAATAAGGCGGCACTGCAAAAGTTTGTAGGGCAGTTCTGGGTGGATGCCATCTGGAATTAGGCCTACGCGGAACAAGCATTTTCGATGAATCTATCCCTGGTACCTGAATGGGCTTCGTGAAGTTCAAAGCATTGTATTTTTTGAAGATGATCCCTGCCAGTTCAAGATTTTTCTTCTAAAGCCGCATTGCCTGGAAATGGAACTACTTGTGAATTAAGAACCTTCCCACGCAAGACTACAACACGATGTGTTAATTGTTTTCAATGAGTGACACCAACAAGTTGTAGTCATTCAGACCAAATCTGTTACGTTGGATGACCTTTTGGATAAAGTTAGAGCTATCATGGCATATCTGATCAACAAGACCTATGCAGTGATCCTTGTAGACATAGGGAATGCCAGTAGATTGCCCATCCGGATTGAGACATGCATGGATGATTGGTGGAAGTGATGAAGAACGCTTAGAGCTAAAGGTCACTAAGGTGGTTGAAGATTACAACCGAGTAAAGAGAGGTGATTCTTTTATGTGCGGAGTCCTAGTATTCTAGAAGTACGGTGGCTAAGAAAAATGCTAGGGAAGAGATTGCAAAGATTTATAGGTTTCGTGTTATTCTTGTGCCAAAGCTGATTAAGGTTGCTAGAGAAGTTGGGATCACAGTTCCTAATAAGGGTAAGGGTAAGAGTGCAAGAATTGTCAATGATTATTGGGAACAACAAAGTAGCGAAATGGTCCGTAGCTATTGAGAAAAGCAAGGTATGGATAAGCTCGTGGAATGAGGAAATGAATCGGGGATAATGATTCACCGAGAAGCTGAGCCCAAAGTTGTTGAAGCTGGCGTAGATTTTTCTAGGGATGTTTCTGTTATTAAATGTACTGGTGAAGTGATTAATCTAAAAGTAGATACAGGGAATGTCATCGTTGAGCCTACTGAGAAAAGATCTAGCGGAGTAACTAAGGGATGAGTCATTTTGCCGACAAAAAGGGAAGCGCGATTTGTGAAAGAGGGTAGAGTGAGTTCAGAGCCCATCAGAGGTCTTAGATTTAGAAGCTACTGGAGGTTAGGTTATCCAGCGAAGGGAAAATCATTTCGCGGACGGCCGACATTCTTGTGGGTGGAAAGAATCCTGCCCTGCCACTTTGGGGAAAGCTCCGTATCTGGTTCTGGAGCCAATATTCCATGGAGACGTGTTAATGGTAGATTCAAGGGAACTGGACAATGTTTTCGTTTTGTCTGCGTTACTTGGCTATATGGTGTTGGCTAAGGAAATGGAGGATTTGCCCTACCTAGGCTATATGGTAAGACAAGCATCGTCAGGTACGACCCGGAATGAAGTGAAGGCTAAGTCTACCCCTGAAGGGGATCGATCTAACACAACCACTCCTCTTACCTATGATGAAGAAGAGACAAATTGTCCTTCTCCGATATGGCGTCTGTATGTGAAAATGGTATCCTCTCGGACCCTTTATTCCCTTCCATGAAGGGGAATGTCGGGTGACATTTACCGACTCTGCAAATGGCCTATAAATGAGCCTTGTGACCTCTCACCAATGGTAAGCCCAGAACAGCTCAGAAACACACTTTACACCCTTCTCTCTACAACCATTAGCTTAGGCATCGAAGCCTCTACACCGAGAACCACCCTTCTCGGCGCTTGGACTCACAACGTTTGCCTATTCTTGATCTATGTAGGTCTTACTCATTATTATCCTATCATGGCTGATTTTTCCGGCTTCAGTCTCCTTAAGGCAGAAATGGTGAGATACCCTACACCCACTCTTGCCATTATTGCAGACTCTTTTACGCAGCACGCGTCTTCTACACATGATGTCAAAAAACGCTTGTTGCGACTGAAATCTACCCTAGATTGCGACAATGCCAGAATCTGTGTTACCTGGATGGGATATCTAGGCTCTTTAGAGGACGACATTCCCCCGAATGCCCCAACTTTGGTACATGCCCCAACAGCTGCAGAAACCTCTCTAAGGGCAAGAGATGCACCATTAAAGCCTCCCCCAGTCATGCAGTCCCAACGTGCACAGAGCTAGACTAGAGTTTCTCCAATCAACCAGAGACGTTTGAATTTTTATCTGAATGGTGCAAGCCAGGCACCATTGGATGGAGGCACACAGTCATGCTACGGCGGTGACTCCCTCTCCAATGCTCTGGCGTATGAAGCACCACCAGACAAGTTCACGCAGTTAATGGTGAAATATTTCAAGGTGGACTCCGACCCTTTAAGCCATAAAATTTCGTATCGGAATGTTGTGGCCTTGTACAACTACAATGTTTCCCTAATATGTAAAATGTTCCCTACCACATTTAAGGGAAATGCCATGACACAGAATTCTTTTCCAAATCCATCACTGACTTCAAGATCCTCAACGATGAATTCATGAAGGCTTTCTCTGCGTATAAGGAGGTGAAGCATGAAACGGATACCTTGTTATTGATCCATTAGAAAGACAATGAAAGCCTCAGAAACTACATATAAAGATTCCGTACAGATTACGCCAAGGTTGACAGACCTGATGACCGCATGGCAACCACCACATTCAAAAATGGACTTCTCATTAAATTTGAACTTAGTCACATAAACCCATGTATGAGTATATCACACTTACAGAATGCTTCGACAAGGTAGAAGAGATAGTCATCTGAGATGAGGAATACTGGCGGAATGGGAAACCATTGAAGTCTGGCCCTTCGTTGATGTCGTGCTCGTCGGAAAAAAAAAGGAAAAACGAATGAGCCTTGATATAAACATAGCGAAGGCAAAGGAAAACGAGCAAGGCAAACGGACCACGCATAGAGCATCGTAGAGATTCATCTTTCTTCACTCTGCTGAACACATCCCTCAACAACATACTGAATGAAATCAGAAACAAGCCTTACTTTAAGAAGCCTTGTTCCATACGAATTCGAATCCCAAATTCTAAGGAGTATTGTAACTACCAGAAAACCTTCGATCACACAACAAGAAATTGCATAAACCTCAAGGAGTTCATCGAGGATCTACGTGACCATGGCCATTGTTGGAAGTTCGTAGCTGAAAATGCGAAGGAAGGTAAGCGAGATGACACCAGAATAAAAGTGATTGAGACGAAAGACCTATGAAAAGGTCGATATTTCATATCAACTGCATTTACCCCCAAAAGTATCTAGGGACCTCACAAAAAGAGCAGAGAATTACCAGTAAGAAACTAAAGATAGTGGCCTCTGTCAATAAAGATCTCCCCATTGATAGCAACATAATCATGTTCTCGGATTGAGACATGGAGCGAGTTTGCACTTCGCACAACGACGCACTCAATGTCACTCTACAGATAGCCCACACGAAGGTGAGTCGTATCTTAGTCGATATCAGAGCCGAAGTCAATCTACTCTTCAAAGACACCATGGAGTGGATGGGGTTACTCAGTGACATCAAGAAAACTTGGTTGATTCTATTAGCATTTTGAAATGACACCTGTCACTTTAAGGACTCAAATTGTAGATCATTGCCGACCCTTATAGTTCTATGATCAACTTTCATGTTCTAGACACATATTCGCCTCAAAACGCGATCTTAGGGTGGAACTGGATACATATTATGAGGGTAGTCCCTTCCACTTACTATCAAGTGATCTGGTATCCTACTCTAACATGGGTAAATGAGATTGAGGATGACCAGGCAATCGCTTATTCCTATGTTGTTTCGAGCTTTAACCTTGTCCTTAAGCCCAACCGGGCAGAGTTTTCCACTCCGGCCATCAACATTGCATAGCAATCAAAATATGGGGGGTCTGTTGAGGACATTAAGCAATTCAACATTGATCTTGAACCTCAGGACGATTGTACGCCTGAATCCAAGGCGGATGAAGATATTGAATACATAATTCTCAATCTAGAAACTCGGGGCAACATTACATCAATGGCGACTATCCTCTAAAGCGAGCGAATGGCGAGGAACTACCTTCTAAGAAAAAGATAACCCAGCTTCTAGTGGCTTCCATATCATAAACTCTCTAGTGCCCACTTTGTCAAGACCGTCGGCTTTTACGGCCTAAGGTGTCACTCTGGCGATATGAGTGATCGAAACCTAAAAGTCCATTCTGGCGGATGAAACTCCCACGTCCTTCAGCTCCATTCTACCAGTAAACTTCAACATCGACTCCACGGGATTCGTCCCCCCATCAGCAGGCACGACAACATTACCAACATTGACGACCTCCACAACATTCTCAACATTAATAGCCTCAACCAACTCTGTCTTTCTTTTCATGAACTTGGCAACAGCCACTTCATTTGCCTTGCGAAGTCGCTCCTTTCTTAGAGGTACTTAATCTTCCGGGTCCACTTCTCCTCCTTTAATCACCAATGTAGGTCTAGATTTAATTGCCAGCAGCTCTGCCATTGACTCCGCTTCACCTTCTATAATGCCACCAAATTTGCATAAATCGACAACTTCCTCTTGAACCTTTCCCCACGATGACCTGCATTCTTTCTGAGAAAAGGTGGCAGTTTTCCTCTTCGTTGCCCTTGAATCCGTCTGGTCATCTTTGGGAACTTTGACAACTATGTTTAGCATTTTCACGTCCAAATAATCACTAACTTTTTCAATCACCACCTCTTCAAGACACCGCGTGGTAACATCCTTCATTCTGTTGTGAAAATCCCGGTTTGGATGAACGATCCAAAATAGTAGATAAGGTCGCAGGTATCATGAGAATGTGACGGCCTGTAATGTCACCCTCCTAATTCCCTATGACTCGAAGTACGTCACGATTGTAAGGTTAGGCAAACCTAATCCAAGTTCGATTCCATCGTCCGGCATGGCAACTCTGGAAAAAGTAGCTCGAACTCGTGGAGATGCTCTTTAATAGATATAAGGCTCAAAACTCAGGAAGGCCCAACCCAGCTTCATAAATCATGTTTAAGCGCTCTAAAGCATACATGACCCTATAGGTAGTAGCGGTAAGATTAATAGGGGCAAGCTGATAATGGGCTAGTACCTTTTTGATGAAGCTAAACATGGGGAGTTTGAGACCCATGCTTAAATACCACGGGTGGATACGGACATCTGGCCAAGTCACCTTCTTGCCTTCATACAGGTTAATGAACACATTTACCCCACGCGCCTCCAACATGAGGCCAGAGCTCCCAACACATCGCGATGCAACTCTGCGAATGCCTCAAAATCACCCTCTTTGTTTATAGGTTAAGGCATTGGAAAGGTTGTACAATGACTTGTTGAAAACAGGCGCATCAGATTTAAGACCTCCCCTGAAAAGCATTAAGGACCTAAAGTCTACAGCATCCATGGCAAATGAATGGGTAGGAAGTAACAGAGAGAAAGATCTGAGAGGAATAGAAGAAACTTTGGGAAGAAAATGATGCAAGGGTAATAAAGAGAAGCATATAAGGGTTTTTGTCTCTTGAAATGTATCAAACTTAGTGCTAAGAACTATTGAAAGAGAGGTATATACACATAGCTATCTACAATAACCTATAACTAATAAATTACAGCTAGCTATGTAATATAATAATACATTAACTATTAAACTTGCTCAAGAAGCAATTCTAGACCCCTATTTATTTCTCAGAAAAATGCAAAAAAAATGATTCTAAATAAAACATGTTATGTATCATAATCAAAATGGAGAATGCCTCATAATCAAAGGATCAAAGGTACTTACAAATGACTTAGGTGAAAACAATCATCATCACTACAAGCAATGTATCAAAAAAAGAAGAATTAGAAATTGGTGATCACATATACTTTCTGAATTATAAACCATTTCTGAAAATTAAAGAAAAAAAGGTGTGGGAATAAGACAATATTTGTTTCTGAGTATACTAGAACCCACATAGTTGAGTTGGATTCTAATGTGAGATCCACATCGATTGCGTTCTTCCTGTATCAATCAGCAAAGAAAGATGTAAACAAGCAAATTAAAGGTACAGAGAAATTGCATGAAATAAAAGAGATTGCAAGTTAATCCTAATGTAGTAATGGGGTTCTGTAAAGATGTGAAGCTCCAAATCCTTTCCCTATTCCCAATGTTGTAAACAGAGAACTGAACGCAATCAATTCTGAAATGATAACCTAACATAGTTTGAGCAATCGATTCATAAGAACAAAATGCACCATCAGGTTTGATTACTGTGTTGACTTCTAATGGGATGCGGAATGTAAAATCTTGGTTTTCCACACTCCGTTTCTTGCTTACAAAGTTTTGGCTCTTGACTTAGAGACGGAAGTCTTGGCTCTTGAACTAGCTTGAAGAGCATTGGTGGAACCTAATAATTCCATTATGTTACTAACACTCAGCATTCTCATATAACAGCATGAATTACAAAGACAAAATGGAGAAAATGCACCTCCAGGTTTGATTAGGATATGTTTGGTTTCTAAGAATATGTGGGCTAAGAAACAGATGTACAAGGGTAAACACGAACACAATTAAAGATTGCAACATCGAAATACGAAAAATTGCCATATTCTTGTCAATCAAACCAGATTCCTACACCCAATAAATCCAATTTCAATTAGAACTTGAAATTACAAAAAAGGAAAATTAAACCCAAGATTTCAAAGCCAAGAACCCCAAATTCCCATCCCCAAAAAAAACCCTTAATTCGAGGAGAGAGAGAGAGAGTACAAGTTCGAAAGATGAAATTTTGTACCAGAAATGCCCAGTGATCGTTGCTGTTCTTGAGAGCCATATTCTTGTCAATCAAACTAGATTCCTACACCTAATAAATCCAATTTCAATTAGAACTCAAAATTACAAAAAGGGCAAAATAAACCCAAGATTTCAAAACCAAGAACCCCAATTTCCCAACCCAAAAAAGACCCTTAATTCGAGCGGAGAGAGAGAGAGAGAGAGATAAAGTTCAAGGAGATGAATTTTATACCAGCAATGCCCAGCGATCGTTGCTGTTACTGAGAGCCATATTCTTGTCTCCTTCAACTTCTTTGCGCCGCTGAAAAGAACCTCCAAAAGCCTCAGACGAATGGGCTTCTTTCATCCATGACCATCCTCCATTTTTGCTTCTGTTTTGCTATTTTGGAAGGCACAGTATGTATGCCATTTCAGCTTTCAAAGCTGAGAGACCTCCCCCGACGTAAACGGACGGCTCAGGACCGTGATTGTGAATGGAGAGAGCGAGCTTCAACTATTTGACCGTTGTTAGTGGAATTCAAATTTCCAGGAAAACAAAAGGTTCTCACATTGGTAATGGGCCGGGTTCAATTTGAAGTCCGTTTCAAAATGGGCTGTTGGGTTTTACTTTTGGCACACTGTATTTTTAGAGGTTTCAAAATTATATCAATATTTGACAGCTTGTGTAAGAGACCGGATAAGACTAACAATATAGATTTTTTGCTTGAAGAGGTTTTTCAGTGTACAAAGAACATAGTTGAATACACCAATTGTCATAATACAAGTGGTTGGATACCTAAAGAAGAAAAAAAAATCCAATCATTTATATTATGATACTTTGGAGGTACACAAAAATATTTCTCGTTTATCTTGCCAACATCATTGAACAACCTTGACATTTTATGGTACCCATACCTATTGCAAGTTCATTCATGTCTACTGGGAAAAGAACGTTGTGACGGACGGTCTTGCCAATTGAAGTTATAACATGAATCTTGGGTATCATTATTTTGAGAATCCACCTGAATGGATTGCAACTCATTTATTTGATGATTTGATCGGAGTCTTCAAGACTCGAACTATTTGTAATAATTTATGGGATAATTGCGTTCTGCAACCTTAAGTTTGGGTACAACTGCAAACTCATATGTCACCTTTAAAACATTGCAATGTCATACACAAACTTACTATTTCATTGCAATTTCATACATCCATCCCAATTTCTGTTATTTCCTCCATTATTTGCCTATTTGGAAGTCGTGGACCCCACATATTTGTGCCACATGGATAAAAAAACCTTAAAATGTTAAAAATTAGAAAATCTCATTTATGGAAAAAAAAAAAAAAAAAAAAAAAAAAAAGGAACGCTTACCGGATCTCCCATTCTCATTGTCCACGGAGAGTAAATATGCAGGTCATGAAAATGTGTCTAAAATGGTGTCCCCCCAACTCTAACTCTTTATATAGAGAGATAATTAGATATAACTGCAAAAACATAATCAATTATTATGGCACTATCTATCCCCGCTTCTTCAACGGTGGAGCGAGATTCCCAACAAATCTACCCTTACAGCACCTGAGTGGAGAAAGTCTTAGCTTTCACGACATCCAAGGGCTATGAAGAAATTTCAATGTGAAGTAAGGGCAACTGCGCCGACTACAAAACAAACATAACAGAAGATGTTGGAATGCACTTAGGGGTAGGCATAAAAACCGTCAAACCACAAAACCGTATCGAAGCGTATGACAGAGAATAAAAAATAACCGTATTGACCGAAAAAGTCAACTTTGAGTAAAAAACCAAACCGAACCATTTAAACTGGTTCTAGTTCCGATTTTGAATGATCAAGAACTAGCCGGAACCGAATCGAACCGAACCGTTTTATTAATAATAAATAAATAAATTATATATACACACATGTCATGGTATAATAGATTGAAAAATTAGTTTTACCAAGTTGCAAAAGGTTGCAATTTAATAGAAGCTAGAATATTTTTTTTGTGTGCAACTGCTTGTTGTATCTTATTATCTTATGAAAGTGTTCTAATTTTTCTGCAGTATACTGAACAAATTGACCCTCAGAGAAGTTTGACATTCTCAAGGGCCGACAGATTAATTCTGGAATTACCACTCCAGATATTTTAAGGGTTTGTATTAACTAAATGTCTTTGAAAACTTCTTACTCCATACTGAGCTATTACTTTCCTGCTGATGAGCTTGAGGGTTCAATTTGAACTGCAGGATGTTATCTTTCTGATATTTGATAAGGCTGTGCTGGAGCCAACCTTTTGTCCTATGTATGCGCTTTTATGCTCAGATCTTAATGCAAAACTTCCTCCTTTCCCACCTGAGAAGGCTGGTGGGAAAGAAATCACATTTAATTTATGTTCAGGATACTTTAAAGATCACATAATGTAATGTTACCGGTCCTCACTTTGAATATTTCTTTTTGCTTGTTGCTGTTGTGTTGTATGCAACTTTATATAATCAGTTTTAGAAGATTTTTTTTTTTTTGTTGTTGAAGAGTTTGAGAAGATGTATTTGAATGAATGATGATTTGGTGTTCAAAGAATTTAGTATTTGGAACCATAAACTGGCAAGAACCGAATCGGAACCGATGTAAACCGAACCGTAAAGTTCTAGTAATAAATTTAAGCAGAACTGCACCAAACCGAACCGTTGATATTTTCTGATTATGGTTCCGATTTAAGGGTGAAACCGCACCGTGCCCACCCCTAAATGCACTACTTCAAATCACTCTAGAAGAAAAACTCAGACTATTAAACATCTTCCCTTTTTATAGATAGTATATCCAAATCATTTTATTCAAGCATTTATACACACATACATATATATATATAGAATTTCAACAAGAAGAAACACTGTCTTTCGAAACTAACTTCAGAGGACTTGTTGCTCCTTGTTTCACTACAGGGCCTTCGGAGACCATATTTTTTAGTAGGCTTAATTATATGGGCACGGGATCGACAAACAAAGAAACAATGGAATCCTTAAGCACTAGTTCGGCATGAGTAAAGCCATCTTCATACTTGTATATAACTTCATTTGTGCGTGCAAGATTGAGAATTCGCAACAGAAGGGGCCTAGGAATGGTGGGAATCAGCCATTCTTCGTTTATGTCCTTCCATGCATCATTCACTTGTTTGGTGAATTCGATTGTTGTTTCTTCTTCTGTGGCACCTGTTCCGTCATGTAGCATTCCACAGCCGATGCAATATGTCCTCTCTTTTGCTCAAACTACATATACATACATGCATGCATGAATTTTAAGGTTAAAAGAGCTTTTGAACTGTTAGATCTTGATTTGTGTGTGTGTTTTTTATATCAAGGATCTAAAGTTTAAAACTAAAATCCCCCAGAGTATCCAATGCTCCGGATGCTATAGAAAATCCCATGTGATTGTTTGTCTAAGTACAAAATATTGTTTTACGAAAAGAAAAAAGAAAAAGTTGAGAATAAAAATACTTTAGTCTACGAGCGATTTTATTCGTACTATATTTACTGATGAACATCTCAACTAAAGATGGATATCACATAAATGGGTGAGTCGCTTCTCTATTATTGAGTAATGTATTTAGTAAATATTCTACAAATATCTAGCATTACTCTTAAGTATATTACTCATGTATCACTAGTATATATACGTTTATAGATATTAGTATAGGTACGAACCTTGTGGGATTTCATCCATGAGTCTGCCAAGTAGTAATAAAGCGTGAAAACTCTTAGAGTCATTGAAAATCCAGTCCAAGGAGTCTTTTGTCACAAAAATCTGCCATTCCAACAAATGACACGACTGATAGCGGAAAGTAGGACGTGGTAAGTGCTACTGACATATATTCATCCATTTTTGGTGTGTAATTTTGGTGCAACCATTTGGCTTCCTCGAAGTAAGCTCGAACTAGAACTTTCATCCGTGAAATCAACACGCAGTCTCTAGTTAATTACTTTCCATAGGTAATCTGATGATAATACAATTACAACATTATTTTTCATGATCATTTAAATTTGTTATTAAACAAGATTAATTTAAGGGTGTAGTGGTATTCATATAATTAACTTATTATGTGGTTTAAGCTCAAATCTCACACCCCTAACTCTATATCATGATTTTTGGTACTTTTCACGGTAGTGGTGCTAGTGTGACATTAAAAGTCAATGAAGTGTGGTGAGTCATTGAGACTTCCAAAAGCAATATGAGATTTGAACATAAAAAGGAAAAAAAACCACAATAGACCTTTTGAGCAATTATTATGAGGCACTAAAACGTGGTATCATGATAATACTTTGATATGTTCTTACTACTATATCATATACGCATAAATTCACTTTTAACCCCTTATTTTAACATTGATATAATATGAAGTGAATGTGCTCTGTTGAAAATATTAAAAAGTCTTACTGCTTCTCTGGCATAATGAATGCCATATAACTTCCCCTCTTTTGTAAGCTTTTCTTCGATTTCAACGTATTCATCCAACATAGCTTGATAACAGACTTTCAAATACTTTGGCAGTTGGTTCATGACTGAGATATCGCATTTGCAGGTGATTAAAAAAAATTAGTAAGACCTTCTTGAGTGATGATTATATATTTAATCTGTGGTTAACTAAACTTGTAGTATAAGGTATGAAATTAAAGGGATAATTGACTGTATTAATATATAATCTATGAACCTTTCAACAGCTTTAGTAAACAGCTCTAGTTCTGCATATGTTCCATACGCATCATATATAAATGTCATCAACAGTGGCATTCATCGCAATAGCTTTGCATAATATTCTCCTAGCAAAGTAATGCTGGGGCTCAAAGAAGACTCCCAATGCCCAAAAGTAGTATTCAACCACTCTATCTCTTATAAAAGGTAGTTTGTTTACAAAGTCCAAATCCTTACACCACCTGCCAATTAATACATAATAATAATGAAATTAGTCAATCCAATTACTATTTATTGTAACTTTTGTGTATGCACATGCATAAAGAGTGATGTTATACTTAGACACACGAACACACTTACTAATATATGTAGCCATAGAGAATAATAGGGCATAGTTCAATTAGTGTCAACAAATGGATTATAGTTTTGTGTCTAAATAACATTATTCACACATATTTACATTCACTATTGTAAGAACTGACATGTCACTACAAGAAAACAGCCACAAAACAAAGTGTGATTTTTGTCCTTTTTCTTGTAGCGTGTATATGGCTTGTGGACTCGATCAAAGTTAACCTTGTAATTTCACTTAATTCTTTCTAATAGACTTGCTGCAACAGATTGAAGTCCAACTTTGCAAAAGTTAGGAGAGTTTGATTTACTGAATGACCACGTTCTTCATAAATAGACAAGTAACTCCTTGCTTCTAGCCTAGGGAAGCCCTTCCAGAATGGTTGATACAAGGCATGAGTTACTTGTTTCGAAAGTAACGGGCTTAAACGGTGCGCTTCAATCCATGATTCAAGATGAGTGGTGGTGAAAGTCAGTGTTTCATCTAGCAAATCCTCTCCGTGAACTCTAACATGTGTGGTTTCGAACAAGGTTAATAGCCCTACTGCATCAGTTGCAAGTGATTCCTTGAATTTTCCATCGACTTCCTTGAACTTATTGAACATGTTTGCTAGCTCCACCAAATACACTTGTTAGCGTAAACAAAATTAGGGAAAATCCAAAGTTATAAACATTATTAATTAACAAACCATGACCTCAGAGAGAAAACTGACCACATGAAACCTTAAAACCTTGTTGTCTAAGCAACAGAAAAC